TTTTCACTTCTTATAGTTTTCATATTGTGATGCATTTGTTCATTATTAAATAACACTTGCCTGTAATTTTCATGCTTAAGATCTTTTTCTTTTATCTTTGATGTATCTATACATTCTCGATCTTAAACCAACAAATTCAGTTATAGGAACGCCACATGTTTTATCTTTAAATTTCCCGATCACATTTTTATTCTCATCACTGTAAATCTTGAATCTTTAGAATAATCACTATTGTCATATATAAATCTGTCTTTCCAAAAATCTTGGTAAACGTCTTCAGCTTTGATTTCATATGTCAATGAATCTGTGTCTGTAAATAATAATTTTGTTTTATCACCATATTTACTTTTGATATATCTGTAATGAAATTCATACATCAATGTTTTCGAAAGATCAAGAATACATATTCCAACATAAGCTGGCTTATTCAAAGTTAATGTTTCTTTAATCTTATGAACTGCAACCAAATTCTCATTAAATATTTTCCTTCAAACAAGACTTGGCTTAGAGATTAATTTTGTCAGTTTTTTCTCATCTGTAACTAATCTCACATCAACACGATTTCTCAAGTTTTCCATTATCTTTCCAAATACAGAATTGTTCATCAATTTGAAAAAGTCTCTCTCGAAGGTATTCTTAGCCTGAGTTCTCTTTTGTGTATTGACGTCGATGTATTCTCTTAACCATGGTGATTGATTGAATTCAAGTACTCTGTGAACCTTTTTTAATTTCTTTCCAAGTTGTGTATATAGATTTAAATTTTGCTGATGTGAAACGTATTTCTCTTTATTCGACAGTGTGGGGATCAGTTTTGATACTAATCCTGTTGATATATTGAATTTCTCAGCTATTTTTTTTTTTTTACAAAAATCTGAAAGCATTTCTGATTCGACTTTTATCTTCTAAGGTCCAAGTTGATAATCATTATGTAAATCACGCAATTGGTTAGGATATTCTAAATCAACTTCTAAAATCAATCCTTTTCTGCTTCTTTCATAATAAGCACCAATATTTGTTTTATTCAATTTATCTTCTGAAAGCCATTTGAATCCTCCTGTAGGTAGATATTGTGATATTGCCCACCCGTATAAATTATTTGCGTCAAGATACACGATATATTTTGATTCATCATTTTCATCATAATCTTTCATGTATTTATTATTTGCTTTTGAATAACGATTTGCAATATAACTAATTCCACCACGCATTCCTTTTTCAATAAATTGATACATCTCAATGTCTGTCATCAGTTCAAGTTGAATATTTGTCATTTGTAACATTGCGTCCCAAGATAAGCCAGGACTTGTAAAATAATGGCATGCATGGATCTAATTCATAATATTGAAGACAAGTTTTTCTGAGATTTTCAAAAGCATCAGCCAACAACAATATATCAGACTTTAAGTAAAGATCATGATATTCTCCCATTGATTTTAAATCAAAAGTTTCCCACATGTTCATATTCTTCATCAGAGATATGTTGCCTAACCGCCTCCTGGTTAGCTCAATGGATAGAGCGCTGGACTGTTGCGCGGGAGGTCGAGGGTTCGAGCTCCGGCCGGACCAACACTCAAGGTCCTAAAATAATTGAGAAGAATTTGCTACCTTTCTATAACATCAAGAAATGGTTAGATATTCTAGTCTTCTCGGATAGGGACGAATAAATGGAGGTCCCGTCTCCTGCAGGGTTGGGGTAGGAGACGTTAATTTCCCACACACGAGATTACTGTGTGATGGATGTCCTCCCCTGGGGTGGGATGGGTGGGAAGGTGAGATCGATAGACTGAAGCGGCTGCCAGAGGGGCCTGATATGCTGACGTCTGTTCTCAACCTTACACTGCACCCGTAATTCAGCCTCTGGGCTGCAAGTGGTCAGATATTAACAATATTCAAACTATATTCATGTTCATTTTTCAATATGCTGTAAAATTCGTCTTTAGTTGGTAATTCCTTCTCATTAAATTTATTGAAACTATCCATATGATCATAAGGATACATACCTTTTTTGTCATCAGATCCAATTCATTGTTTTGGAATTTTTCTGATGTGTATTTAAAAGCGTCTTTAGGAAGGTTATTCACCAGCTTATCAAGACTTGAGCTCATGAATTGAAAACTATCAATGACTGTGAGATGATTTCCAAGCATGAAAGCCATATATTTTTCTAAGTTATTTGGAATAGCATTTATATTCATTTGACACTCTTCTCCATTTTTATTTGTGTATTTATTATTCTAAACAATTTCACAATCTCTTGCATTATGAAATGAGAATCATATCCTCTCAAATTATGAAAGATTACAGGTATTTTATCAGTTATTTGAAAATTAAGATTACAATCTTGGTGTGCAGAACCTCTGTACGAACCAGTCACATGGCAATGATCTCTCACACGAGTATCGTTTTTAGTATATTCTTTTTCACAGATATGTCATTTGTTTGCATTTTTGATGTGCTCTTCATCTTCTTTTGTCATTTTCAATGGTTTGTTGAATTTTGATTTAATTACACTCTTGCAATATTTTACCTCTTCAAGCATTTTTTCCATGAATCTGTAAACAGCCTTTTCACCACGATAGATTTGAATCGGTTTTGTGTATTTGTCATCATAACAAGAAGCAACTTTGTAACCATATCCACAATCAGTGTGTTTTTGATAAGCTTCAGTGTAAGATTCCTTATCAGAAGGCTGGCATCAATGAATTTTCTCTGTGATAGCTTCAAAGTCAGCGTAAATGACAAATGGAACTTGTTATTGTTTATAATAGTTATTGAATTTCAATATATTATCACCTTTGGTTGGCATTTTAACAGCTTGAGCTCCATTTGTGACGAGACAATTGTCTTTATGATTGTTCAAAACTCGTTCAGAACTAAAACATTGAAAACAATAATAAAAAAAATGCTTTCTGTTCTTATTTTTCGTCACATCATGCATAAATCTGTTAAAATCTTTTATCAAAACATAATGCGAGTCATGTTCGTTTGTTATCAGTAAAAAAGATTCAAATGATCTTCATTTCTTTCTTTGCTGACGTAAAGTGGATACCTTTGTTGATTTTCATATCCGAACACATTCACATTTATATTATTCTGCTTTTCTATTTTGTTTACTTGACTTAGTTTAACTGGAAATTCTATTCCTGAATAATCTAAACTCTCAACAAAAGCTCTGTCAACTTTTTTGATCCTCTGAGGATATATACCTTGTGGATTTAAATGTCTGATATGGCACCAACGAAAGCATTCATTATCTTTATTTTGCAAATTTATCAAACCCCTTATAAGATTCTTTAATTCTGGTGGCAATTCGATGTAAGATGAACCTTTTGTTGGATTAAGATTCAAATAATGCTTATTAACTGAGTCCATGATACAACCAGATCCTTCTAAAAATCCATTGTGCTATTTTATTCAATAATTCTTGTTCTGTTGATTGCAAAGATGCTTCTATACTCATTTCATTTATTATCGTTTGAGGTTGGCTGTTAAAATACACTTCTTTGAATTGAAATTCACCATCAAGATTGACCTTTTCAAAAGTTATTTTTAAGGATTCCACTGATTTCATTCCTCTCATTTCTTTTAATACATTTTCAAGAAACTTTCTTGTAAACAATCTTGTGCTTTGCATTTGAATCAATGAATCTTTTTCATCTTTAATATTTATTTCATACGATTTTGTATATCCTTTCAAAGCCTTATTTGTCTCATCAATTCTTGTTCTTGTTCATGTTCTCAAAATGATGGATGTCAAATCAAATCAAATCAATAAACTTTTCGCGGATTTGGTCAGATTTTCAGGGGCTATGGTTGATGACTCAAACACCTCAAGTACTATACTACTACACTACTTTAATGCGTTATTTTGAGTTTGAGGTCTGGCGCCCTATGAGACGGTAAACACATGCAGCCACTGTCGAAATTTTAACTAAAATTAGAAACTCATATTTTAATCGACGTCTTCCGTGGCGTTGCCGTCCTGACTGCTTAAAGTCCCTATTTTCACTTTCAAAGTATGGTTTGAAAATAACTTTCATAGTTCGATAATGAAAGTCCTCTATTGTGCTATCGTTTTCTGTAAAGCGATTAATGAACAGAGAATCAAAACGTTTTTATCTGAACAAAATGCAACAAACAGAAACAAGGACACATCGGAATGACAATGACACATCGAAACCAGTCGCTAGACATTTTAATTTACCCAATCATTCTAAGCAACATATGGCAATTTGCGGTCTTTCCTTACACTTAGGTAGCACGGAAAGCCGTAAAACTCTTGAACAAGAGCTCATCTTTCAAACCGGTTGTCTAAATCCCAAAGGTATCATCAAACGCTTTTCATTCCACTAATTTATTCGTGTTTTTCTCGTTGCCATGTTCCCACCAATAACTTAGCTTCATTTTCTGCCTTTAAAAGCACACACAACCCACAATTCCTCTATTCGCTCCGACGAAGGGCTAATGCTCGAGACGTCAGCCTTTGTAATCATTACGGTGGCCATCTACCATTTCAACATTGTTCATATATCCAAACAGAAACAAGGATTCGAATGATTAAATGGTAAACGAATTCAAACTCACTGTCGTCTGTTCTGCACGCCTAAACCCGATGCAGATCTGTGCATGCACGTGGATTTACTGCTTGACAAAAAAAACCGTGGAAAATCAGGACTGGGTCACCGGGCCTCCGCATCGCAGGCCATTGCGGGCCGTGGCCCGTGGGCCGTGGGCCGTGGGCCGCGGACCGTGGGCCACGGGCTGTGGGCCACGGGCTGAGGGCCATCGGCCGCGCGCCGCTGGGCCGCGGGCTTGCCTTTAGCAAAACCCTTCAGAAGGTACTTTCTTAAAGCACCATTACTTATAAAAAAAAAATTTACCCTGTTAGTCAAACTATGAGGAACAATGAGATATCATCAATACGCGGCGGGGTAACAAATGTCTTAGCAGAATGATGTCTTTCGAACAATGTAAATCTCAATCCTTTCATATCTACTTACCTTGTTCTGAACAATTATTTCCCCCTCCAACTGCCCCTTCTTCCTCTCCTCTTCCTTCTCCTTGTCCTGCACGCTGTGCTCTTTCTCCTCCAGTCTTGTTCTCGTTCCCCTGTTCATTGATGTTCCCCTCCACCTGTGCTGGATTCCTTTGAGGCTGCAGTTGTCCTTCTCCTGCTGGTTCTGGTGCCCTTCCTGGAAAATGACCTAAAAGTCTCTCAGGAAATTCTTCAGATTATGTCTAGAAATCTCATTTTTAATAGCTCTAAAAATCTAAATTTTTTTTCTAATATCCCAATTTTTCACGAAAATGTCTTCGAATGATGCACTAAATAAATTAAATATGTGTAATTGTGCTGTAATTGCCCGGGCTTTCCGAAGGAAACGGCTGAGTTATAAATTATGCTTGGTTTTTTTGCGTTCAGTCACAAATCGCCGTCGTTTTGACAGCGCGTGCGTAGATTCTATGTAATGCGCATGCGTTGTAGTATGCGCCGTAGAAGCACATGGTCGACGAGTAATGACGGATTGTTCGTTGCTGATTACAGAAATGATGGAGTCTAACGCGCTCAAAACATGCACAAACGCATACAATTCTCGCGGTAGACCCACACTAAAAGATGTTGAGCATTTTCGGAAGGGGTCGGTCCGCGAGGTTTTACGAGAGAGTCATTACGAGTGAACCTTTTATCGTGAACCATGCTATGGCAGCTATATTAAATGAACCATTGATCGAAAATCATACTATATCAAATCGGCTATCTCATGTTAGCCTATGTAGGAATCGTCGTGTGATTAAACGTGATCGCGATCGAGAACCCAGCAGAGTACCAGTGCGGATTCTGAAATGTCTGAGAAATAAAAGCAGAAAGCTGAAGGAGTTCGTCTTCAAACATATCCGTGCAAACATACTGAAGTCTTCCGAGCGGTATTGTTATGTGAAGGTCAGAAAACTTTAAAAAGGTCGTTCTGATACTCATTGCAAGATAAAGGAGATTCTATTAATTCAAGAACTTAAACCTACTCTAAACAATAATGTCGGCAGCGATAAGCTTCATCTGTATTAGTTTGCATCTTTGTATATGCAAATTATTTCTTTTCTTTTGTTCATTGTCATATTCATTAGTAACTTATCTTAAATTTAAATTTAGTCGCCACGTGTTTTATTAACTGTCACTTCTGAAGATGTATGTTGAAACATACGAAACGTCAAGTAAAGTTTGCTAGTCTTATTTTCCAACATGCCTTTTACTGTTATGTTTGTAACTGCAGTTTGTGTGCTATTTCTTATCAAGCTACGATGGCCAAAGAGAAACAATTTTTATGAAAAGAAACTTTTCTTTAATTGCACTATCAGGGTTTATCGAGGGATATTGAAGCTTAAATGTCGAGCCAATCGGTATTCAGAGGAGCCCATTACCCGGAGCGTGCAACTCCCCTATATTCGTGCAACGGCGTTTTCACAAGTAGTGTTATTTTTAGATACGCCTTTCCCGCGAAAATTATTGTTTCCGGTGACCTCCGCATCAAAACAAGCTACGATTTATTACTACGCTATTCCGTTCTCCGCTTGACGTTTTCCATCATTCCAATCCAACCCTTCCATCAGATGGCCTTTGCACAGTACCCTGCGTTTTATTTACACTTTCCACATGTAAAGTTGCGGCATATTTTTTCATAGACTTATCTCTGAGTGTGAGTTTACTCAGGTGTGCCTTCGATAAATTGCTCTGGCGGTTTTCACAATGGTCAAATAGACCCTAAATATTATCGCAAAACGATGAGGAGGTCCGATTAGGATATAGAAATTTCTATTAACACAAAAAAACCCCATTTAGAAGTTGAAGAGTCAGCTACGTGTTCGTCTTCGGCGACCCAGGAAGGTACGGAACGTGACAACAATTCTTCCGAGAGCCAGAGCCGTACATAGCGTGGGGGCAGGGGGGGGCAGTTGCCCCCGCCAGGAAAACTAAATGTTTTGTTTCTAACATAGTGTTTGATTGTGTTAGGCTATTTCTTGTGGCTATACTGGTTCGAAATCTTAACCCCTGTGGAGGTGTGCGGAGTTTGCCCCCGCAGTCAAAAAATCCTAGGTACGGCTCTGAGAGTGCTTCGGTAAAGAAAGCGTTACGACGAAGCCTAGAGCTGAAACAAGAACTAAAAGTACCAAATTTGCGAATCTAATCTGGAAAGCAGCTGCAGCTGATGATGGTAGTGTTGTTATCAATCGCTTTTTTTTATGGGTTCCGAGATTGACTCCCAAAGCCAGTCTTTCTCAACAGTTTCTGTCAAACTTCAATAAAGTTAATAGGTGACTTATAAACAAGAAATGTTTGAACTATCACCTAGCACAAGATCGACAGGATCTTTTCAAATAAGCCCAACCATTGATAATCGTTGCATGCTTTTCTGTATTTCTTCAACGTGCAAAAGATAATGATCAAGATGCAAATATATATGAATATGACACTTTTAACATTAACGCTGATCGAGGAAATGGCTCTTCTCTTTCAACTTGTCATATAGAATATCGAGCTAATGTATTTTATCCTGAAGTGGAATACGATAGCGTCTCCAAAATGAGAATATTCGATGATTTAATGAAATATACAATGCGACAGGATGATTATAATTCAGGCACACAACTTAATCTTAGTAATTTCAATTCTCTATTCGGAGTTCTTTATTTCGATCTCACTGCCCAACCTGAAAAGGTTACAAAGGATCCCAAAAAGCTTATTTTCAGATACAAACTTAATGCACAAGCAGCTGCTGATAGTGCTTTTACAGTGAATGCTGTTGTACTATATGAAAAGAATTAATAATAAACCAAGTCGAAAATGAATTCGTAATCGTCTAAATCAATTTTATAAGTAAAGTTCACTTTTTAAAATCCTTAGGTTCATGATAACTCACAAGTTTATAACACTTACACTGTAAAAGTACTCAATTTCTGTACAAAATTTCTGTACAAAATTTGTGAGCCTAATTTTGTAAGCGTATGGTTGGTTGATTCAAACATATATCCATTGTGTTATGAAAAAAGCCATCATATGTCTATTGTCATTCAAGTCTAAAACAAAAGACGGATTAGTAAGGGACTTTCCCTACGCTCCAATGGACTTTCCCTACGCTCCAAGGGACTTTTACCTATTTTCGCATGTTCAATACGTTTTATGATTATTAAAAATTATATAACGTATAATATCTATAAGATATGACGACAAAGTTATTTAAAATCGATGTAAGCTTAACACCAAATCAGAAAAAAATCTTGCAAGAGCTTATTATAAAAGAGAAACAATCGCGCTTAGATTGTCAGCAAATGCTTTATCAGGTAAGGACACGCTTCATGTACCACAAACTGTCGCTAAAAGATTGTTGAAAAATAAGAAATTGAATAAAGGCATAGATATAAAACTATTAAAATCAAATATCACAAACCAGGTCGGAGGCAGTCTTTTGACAAGCATTCTCAGCTTGGGAAGAACACTTTTGCCAACTGTTGGAAAAACATTAGGACTTTCTGCTTTGGGAGGATTAGCAGGCGAAGGAGCTTCTCAGTTAGTCAAAGCAATCTCCGGAAAAGGTGTTCAATCAGGCGGATTTTTAATTCAACCGAATATGCTTTTAAAACTAATGCCATACATAAACATGTTGACTTCAAAACAAATACAAGATATCTATAAAAGCTTAGCGAATAGATCGGGCTTTTTTATAAAACCGACTAAAACACAATCAGGAGGAGCTCTTGGTACAATATTAGCATCAATTGGTATTCCAATGGCTATTGATTTGGTTAAGAATTTAATTTCTGGAAAAGGTACGCCAAGATTAGGCGCGCAAATGCCACCATCGAAAGGTGGTACCGGGAGCTCCACGATTGGGATCAAAAGATGGCAAAGGAGCTCCACGATTGGGTGCTTATATACCTCAAATGCCTCCTCCATTCATCGGTAATTGGCCAAATGGTCAAATTGGCAGAGGTAAAAAAAAACCTCAAACAAAAGAACAGGATCCAATTCTAGGAAAAAACAGTCCGTTCAACTCAATTCCAATGATAGGAGACATTTTCTAAAACCAAAATCTCATAAAATAATCGTTTTGTCTCTATTTTTAAGCGCCGACCACGTATACTTTTTTCGGATACGGCTTCTTTAATTACCTTTTCACGCCATAGGATGATGACATCATTGTGTAAAAGTTGACGCCCCTATCAGATTAGAAGCGAAATACGATCAAAGATTTTACCCAAGCAAGCCACTGGTATCCAGCAGAGAATGCGGACTAAAAGTACGGATTCTCAGCTGGATACCCAGACTTTTTTTTTGGTTGCTAACGGCGTGAGGCTCGTTATGTCAAAAATTTAATTAATTTGACTCATCCTTCTAAATAAACATCTACCACGGTGGTAAATGTTTATTTAGAAGGATAAGACAAAATTAATTAAGGTTTTGAAAGTAGCCACAAAAATTGCTAATTTAAGCGAACCCTAAGAAAGCTCGAGTTCACGCAGTTATGTATCTTGTTCAACATAGATTTGAAGTCAAAATGATTTCAGATTAGAATGAGTCCGGGATGTATGATGCCAGCACAAGATGAATCTGTTGGCACTTTATTTGTTATCAAGTTTGGTTTCGAATCCTGTAAACGTAGGTTCTACTCCTAAAAAAATAAATGCCACAAAACTATCACTCACAGCCGGTTTACGGTTTCAACTTTCTTCAATTCAGGGCCGTACCTAGGGTGTTTTGACTGCGGGGGCAAACTCCGCACACCTTCACGGGGGTTAAGATTTCGGACCAGTATAGCTACAAGAAATAGCCCAACAAAATCAAACACTATGTTAGAGAAAAAACATTTAGCTTTCCTGGCGGGGGCAACTGCCCCCCTTGCCCCCTCGCTATGTACGGCCCTGCAATTTGCATCTGTAAGATTCAGTGTAAGATATTCTAAGCTACATGTTGATAACATTTTTGAAATAGTTTTGATCAATGTCATGAGATGAAAACTTTATATTTCTCACACAAAATTTAAATTTGGAAAAAAAAACAGTTTCAGTCGACGCTGAAAGGTTAAAAACTAAAAGTCTATTTATAGTTTACAGGTAACTTAAGTTGCAAGGGTTCTTAGAAGGCATTCTACAGTATTCTTAGGTCACCTAATCGCTCTTACCTTTGGGCTGAAGAACAGATGAGAGCAAAAGAGGCGATAGGGTCTTTGTTTCATCGTGTTTGAAATCTATCATTCCAACACATTTATCATTGCCTGGGTCTTCTTCAAGGATGATGGCACCACCAAGAGGTTTACGTGTCGAAATTTGGGTAAATGACCTGTATGAAGTGTAACAACCACCACTTCCTTCGTCCTTATACTTTCCTGAGTCATCTCGATAAATAGGTAACCTTTTCACAAAACATTCCCGTGAAGCCTCCACAAAAACACAACACAATTTTTCATCATTTTGTAAGTCCTCCTCCACAACGCTAAAAGCTCTTCCTTCTAGGTATTTTCGGAATTTTTCACTTTCACTTCTCAGGTGGATGAGGATCATCCCAGGAGTGTCGCCTTTAGACTCGCAACGTCTGAAATCCGGTGCAATTTCGTGCAATTCAATATCTGTTATCTTCTTTAGGGATTTCACTGAACTTCGAAAATGTAAGTGACAATTTCTCATGATTTCATCATCTCTTATCACTTCTTTACTCGTTACCAGATAATAATAAGAAAGAGTTCCTCCTCCGATTAAAAATCCCGAACCAAGTATTACCTTATGGCTACTAATAAGACAAAGCCCGAATTCGGACTTGTGTTTGCTTATGTACTCTCTTTTCTCCATTTTATATGGTTTCATCGGGTTGATCGACAGCTTTAGCATCGTGACGCAACCATTAGGCTGACAACGCGGGAGCAGTAGCTTGAGGTACTCGAATAATGTGTAAGGTAAGGTAACAAAGGGGTAACAGAAGAACCAATCATAGCGTGAGATTTGTGATAAGAAGGTGACAAGCAGGACCCGTAGTGGTAGAGTTCTCTCAGCAGGTGACTACTGGGAAACAGCTTATAATATCGCGAGATTTCTTCATCGTTATCCCGGCCGCTGTTGGGTTTTCCGACGTTCCTGGTCATTTTTGGTGAGTAAAAGCACGAATTATATATGCTTTTGTGCAGTCTGGAATTTAGCAGGTAAAATTACGGTACATATTTTAGAAGTGAAACAACCTCTTGTTCCCTCAATGCCCTAAAAATTGTACTCTCCAGAAAGCCATATGCAGCCTTTGGCCGTCTATTTTTTTAGTTTGGCCGTGACACCACAAAAGATGATTAGCATCTCAAAATAATTTCACCATGGGGTCTCTGGCGGCACGTAATTTATTTACAGAAATATCTAAATAGGTTTGAGAAACAAATGCTGGAAACTTTGAAGAAATTCTGTGTTTGTTCGAAGAGAGAACATTTACCATTTAAGTCAGTACTAGTGCCCTTATAAGCCGCTACATTTGCGGAGCGAGCAAGTCCGGAGTTAACAGTCAAAAATTGCAGTACATATTTTAGAAGTGAAACAATCTCTAGTTCTTTTCAATGCTCAAAAAATTGTGATCTACAAGATGCCATATGCACTCTTTGGCCATCTATTTTTTCAGTTATTGCCGTGACACCACAAAACATGATTACCATCTCAAAATAATTTCACTATGGGGTCTCCGGCGGCACGTAATATATTTACAGAAATATCTAAATAAGTTTGAGAAACAAATGCTGGAAACTTGGAAGAAATACTGTATTTGTTTCAAGAGAGAGCATTTACCATTTAAGTCAGTACTAGTGCCCTAATGAGCCGCTAGATTTGCGGAGCAAGCAAGTCCGGAGCTTAACAGTCAAAAATTGCAGTACATATTTTAGAAGTGAAACAATCTCTAGTTCTTTTCAATGCTCAAAAAATTGTGATCTACAAGATGCCATATGCAGTCTTTGGCCAACTATTTTTTCAGTTCTTGCCGTGACACCACAAAAGATGATCAACATCTCAAAATAATTTCACTATGGGGTCTCCGGCGGCACGTAATTGATTTACAGAAATATCTAAATAGATTTGACATACAAATGCAGGAAACTTTGAAGAAATACTGTGTTTGTTGTAGAAGGGAGCATTTACCACTCAAAACTAGTGCCCTAATGAGCCGCTAAATTTGCGGGGCGAGCAGGTCCGGAGTTTAACAGTTAAAAATTGCTGAACATATTTTAGAAGTGAGACAACCTCTAGTTCTTTTTGTGCTGTACAGGAAGCCATCTGCAGCCTTTGGCCGTCAATTTTTTCAGTTCTTGCCGTGACACCACAAAAGATGATTAATATCTCAAAATAATTTCACTATGGGGTCTCTGGCGGCACGTAATTTTACAGAAATATCTAAATAGCTTTGACATACAAATGCTGGAAACTTTTAAAAAATAGTGTGTTTGTTCGAAGAGAGAGCATTCACCATTACACTCAGTACTAGTGCCCTAAAGAGCGGCTAAATTTGCGGAGCGAGCAAGTCTGGATTTAATAAGGTGAAATCGCGGTACATATTTTAGAAGTGAAACAACCTCTTCTTCAAAGTTTCCTGCATTTGTATGTCAAATCTATTTAGATATTTCTGTAAATCAATTACGTGCCGCCGGAGACCCCATAGTGAAATTATTTTGAGATGTTGATCATCTTTTGTGGTGTCACGGCAAGAACTGAAAAAAGAGTTGGCCAAAGACTGCATATGGCATCTTGTAGATCACAATTTTTTGAGCATTGAAAAGAACTAGAGATTGTTTCACTTCTAAAATATGTACTGCAATTTTTGACTGTTAAGCTCCGGACTTGCTTGCTCCGCAAATCTAGCGGCTCATTAGGGCACTAGTACTGACTTAAATGGTAAATGCTCTCTCTTGAAAACAAATACAGTATTTCTTTAAAGTTTCCAGCATTTGTTTCTCACACCTATTTTGATATTTTTGTAAATATACTCTTCACTCTTTAAGTATGTGATACTAGAGTGAATAAGATCATGTGAAAAAAGGTGTTTCTCACCTAAGGCTGGGGCAAACACATTTTAGCAACATAACTAAAACCTTGATTAAAACAAATCTGGGGTACAGACATGACTGACTTCTCTAATTAACGAAATTTCTCTTTAAAAATGTTTATAAAGTACACTTACAACCCAGAATAATCAGCTTTTGTAAATTAGTGAACAGCTGCAATTCAAAGGCCTAGCATGTTATTAAAAGCTTTTGATCCAAAACACCAATGACCCAAGAAATTAAAACCGAGTTGTTCTTTCAAACTGTTTCGAATCGTTTCAAAATTCGACAGTTAGTTTGTTTGCACTCCCAGCGCAAACTCAGAACTCTAATTATTTGACAGGGCAGTGGTTCTTAGGGTGAAGTATCAATATAACGAGGTTTTATAGTCGTTCTCACCACTTACACAGTACCAATGATGCTGCGCACTACTACTAGCATTTTCAACAGGCGCCAAGTTAGCGGAATTTTCTACATAACAAATACCAATTAATGTCGG